TTCGACTGTCAATTGGAAATCACGTTCTTTATCGGATTGCTCTGGTATTTGCTCATTAATTATCACGGGGATATGTGAACGACGATTTTAAATGGCGTGGTATCGCCCTTGAATCCGAGAAATGTGCATGTGGGTGCAGATTGTGTTACGTTTGCGAGCAAATGTTGACCGTGCCTCTTGCCGGATTAACCGTAAACGATGAGCGAACTGTACAAACAATTATCCTCTCTTGGGCAAGATCACCTCCGAATATCGTAATACACACGTGAATAAAAGAATCGTTATCGTAACAATAATATTGTACGAGGTGTCTCGAGAGTGAGAGAGCCTCTCGATCGTTCGATTATTTTACTCGCGGGGGGAGCGCGCAGACGAGACTCTCCGTGACACAGATAATCGAAGAGTAAACCGTCGATTCGATGGATACCCTCGGTCTCACCATTTCGGGCAAAAAGGTCGATACGCGTGTAAGGGGGCCCCGTTCACCGTGTGGTTAGAGGCTCTCCGTGTAAAACAGCGGGGGCGTTCTGACAGGACCTTGTCGCAACCCACACGCAGGGCTGTACCTCGGACTTCTACAAAAACTCCGACGCGTCTCTGGTTCTCTGAAGAATGTACGACATTCGAGGACAGACGTCCGAATTTTCCCCGAAATTCTCATCGATAGAGACGACGTCGAGTCGACAGGAGATTAATTTCGGTCTGGCATTCCACTTACCATTGTCATTAATGGTTTTTCAACGTCTTCTCGGAAAAATACATACGGTCCTGAACCGTTCTCTCTCGAAGGCAAGGATATTTAATTATCGATCACCGTGAATCTGCCGCGCGATGTTCGCGACCGACTTCTTTTCTTTTTTTTTTTTTTCAAAAGGATCACGTGGGACGGAGTAGGAGATAAAGACAGCGTGTATGCGTGCGTGTATGCAGAGTCGTTTCCGTCGAGGAAGATGCAATAAGCGACGGCCTTGATTTCTCGTTTGTGCGTACGGAAAGATCGTTCGTGAAATCGATCGCGCACCGGCTTTAGCCTACATAACCAACTGCGATACGCTTCCCCTCTCCTCACTCTCTCTTTCTCTTGCTCTCTTTTCACCTGGACTCTCAATGCCGCGCACTTTTACCTTACTCCTCGCGAACAATTGTACGGAACACCGAAACTCGCGAGTTTCACGTTCGCGTTTTCCCAACTTAACATCCAATCGTTTCGTATTCAATTCCTTAGAGGAGATTGTCCCAGCACTTAACGTCTATCGGCTGCGCAACGACCGATGAAAATCGATTGTACGCGTTTTCTGCTGGGTAACGGGGACTGAATCGAAGCCACTTTTTACCTTGGCCAGACTCCGTGCTCCGCGCGAAGACAGTATCGCTTTCGCGTTGTTATTCGCCGTCGCGATTCAGAGTTCTCTCGCGGTTAGAAATTCATCGGGCAATTAGTGGCGAGTGGAACTTAATTACGCGCGTGCGTTTACGGCGTCCGAGGACCCGTTAAACGGTCGACGGCTACTTGGAAGCGGGTCTCCTCTGCTTACAACTAAGACGTTACAACCGCCCTTCCAGCTCTTGCTCAGGGAATGGAATCACTGAAGTCACGGCTCGACTCGAGGCGTCGTCTCTGACCCGGACAGGAAACAGGGTGCAGCCTTCTGTTCCACCATCTGCTTCTTGTTCGCTCGCGAAGGGCTTCGAAGAACGTTTTCCTAACGAAACACATCCGTCCCCCGTCGACTCTGTCTCCATAGCTACGCACGGTGGATAAATTTTCAAGTACAGATACGCGTGGAATTGGTTTCCGGATTCCAGAACGGAGCACGCAACGCGTCGGCCGGTTGCTCCGTTCGAGATCGATCAAGATATCACGGCGTGTCATTGCCATAATTCATACAGCAAACAAGAAACGCGCTCGAAGCCACGGGGCAATTGTTCACCCGTTGCTGGTGGTGGCGCAACAGTGAAAGCCCACTTAGGGGACGTTGCGCGGCGATTAACGAGAGATACGACACGTGGGGGAAACCACCTTTGAAAACGGCGCGCGCGGAGCGCTGAAACCCGGTCGAAAATTATCCGTCTGTGTCCGATTTACGACGAGCCGCCGCCCACGCGCGATAAATCGCGTCCGCTGTAAATTGTGCCATAGGAAACTAGGTAATCGACGGTCGGGATACGGCGCAATATTTCACCCCTCGGGACCGCGCTGGCCGCCCCATTGTCTCTTCGGGCCTTAACGAGAGGCTTGCTCCGTTTAAGTGGAATTATCCTGTCTCATTAAGCAAGCATCGAGGTATTCCTCGCTCGAGGGACCACGGAGGAACAACTTCAGGGCCGCGCGAACGCTTCTGCGAGTCGTCGCGTCGCTTTGGAAACGAACGGACGCGTCGTTTGTGCGAGAACTATCCTCCGATTTGCAATAAAGACGACTCCATACGCAATCCGCGGGATTTGCGATTGTCCCCCAGGAACGATTAGATGCGCACGGACGATTCTGTCGCGACGACAAAATCTTTGAGTTATATACTAACTGGAGAGGGAATTGTAAGGTAGGAAACGGGTCGAGGAAGAGGGAAGATATGCGATGAACCTATCTCAGTCTCACACACATACACAAATCTCGGCCTGGCGTCTACAGGGTGTCACAAAAATGTTGGCGGATCCGGAAATGGGAGATTCGTGAGGTGATTTGAAACAAGTTTTCCCTTAGCAAAAATGATATCCGAGGCTTTGTTAACGAGATATTAACAGACAACATTTTTGTCATTTTTGTGCCACTCTGTATACCTCTTCTATACAACAAATGTATTACAGAATGGTACAGACAGAGAGGATAATAGGAAGAAGAAAGATAGGTTCACAGTATATCTTCCTTATTCCTCGAACCTACGTCGCCTCTATTTCGTTGCAGAGGAGTTCGTTCTCCAGTTAGTATATAGTTCAATGGACAAAGCGTAGTTTTCTCGTGTCCCGAGAGAGAAATAGAAGACTTCGTTCGCACCCTTACGATTCATCGACACGGGGCCTGACCAACCGGATAAAACGAACGAGGAAAAAAGCCAGAGACTTTCGTGATTTCTTCTGGTTCCTTTTTACGTCCGTGAATCATCGGGGCAAGTTCGTTCCCCTGGTTCGGGTCAGCCGAAGGAAGCACCTCGGCAGAGATTTCCGAGTAAGGTCTGACTGTTTTTATCCGCTTTTTTCCCATGTGGATCCTTCTCGTCTCCGTGGCTTTTCTCTTTGCTTGGACTGTTCGATCATCCGCGTCATTTTTCTGGGACTCGGATGAGTCAAGCTCTGTACGTGTACGTGCATAACTAGTTTCGCAAGTCGGTTGTGCCTTCGTTTTGCGCAATCTCATCAAGAATTTCGAGCCTCCGTGTTCAGGAATTCCATCAGAGCTCGACGAGATAAGAAGAAAAAAGGAGCCTCGTGAGGTGTTTGGATTCTCCACCGGTAACCTTCTATCCGTCCCGATATCGTCACCAATTTTTCACGTCGTCCCTCTGGATACGCTCGTATCGAGCAACGATCGAACCAGATACCATCTCCCGGTTCTTCCCCGGCATCGAGTCGTTAAAGATCCGCTGTGGGTCTAATTAGGCCACGAACAGAGTCGTTAGGGGCTCGTCGTCGTCAACGGCGACAACGTTCCCCGACTTTTCTGCCAAGATTTTTTCATCGTCCCAGGGTTTCTGCGGGACAAAAACGAACGATCGATGGTACTTCGACGAGTGGCGATCGGAGCATAGAAAACGATCCTATTGGAAAAGTCAATCGTCCCGCACGAAATCACTGTAATTACACCAGTCATTTCCAGGAGACTAAAGAATCCGAACGGTCCATCGAGGGGATCATCAAGGCGCTTTACATTGTAGCATATTTCGATGTAATTTCCCGCTTCCGACTGTACCAGTGATTATTCTTGTTTGCGATCCGACGGAGGAAACTGGCGACACGATGACACTCCTAAGAGAAAACAGGGGATCCGCCGTAACGAGTTTTCGACCACGCCCACAGTTCCTATCCGTCGAAGAGGGACGATACAAACGGTGAGAATTTCGATTCCGTGTAAGTAGGGAGGGTTTATCCATCGGGAGTCCCAGAATCCCGGTGAACTCGAGCGAGGTCGAGCTCACGTGGTCGTCGTGGTCGCGGTTTATATCAGGGAGGAGGACATGCGGAGGAGCCGGATTAACGGGAGAATCGAGTGGTCTGCCTCACCTCGAGGAGGACCGCAGGACAGAGGACAGCGAGGAAGAAGAAGGAGGCGGTGGTGGCGGCTAGAGTGTGCAAAGGAGAGGATGAAAGGGGCCCAGGGAGGTGGACGAAGGAGCGCGAGGAAGGGAGCCCGGAGGACGAGGGGAGAGAAAGAGAGAGAGAGGAGGGAACACGCTCTCCTCCGGTGCACACTCTCGTGGTGACTCCGACCGGCAAAGTGCTCGCGTTCGTGAAAGTCCACAGACGACTTTCAGGGTCGTCTGCTCCGCTCGTTCGGCCGAGAAGCCGGCTGCTTGGTCGTCGTCGTCGTCTCTCGCGAAAAAGGAGCCACCTAAAGGGATCCTCGTACTCCTCGGCCGCGAGTTTCGGGGTGTCCCGAACCAAAACGGAAAGAAAAAGAGAACTGTCTTCCGAGTCGTATTGGATCGATGTAAAACCGAGTACCTACTCGCGCGTGGTTTCTCCCGTTCGTGTGTTCGAGCTGGAAGGAACAGAGACTCGTCGAGTTCCTTGACCGTCCGATGTGTCACCACTACTCGTCGTTGAATCGATTCGAGCTGGGGAATCGATTCGCCAGCTGAAACTGAACACGATCCTAGTCGCGCTCGACTGTGTCCCGTTGATATATGTGATCGGACTGTGATTTCTGTGATTAAGTCGTTGTGTCGCGAACAGGGGAATCGCGGAGAACCGTAACGGAACCTTGAAAAGTTTCCGTCGTGACGGTATCGGGCACCGGTGGACAGTTAACGCACAGTGAGTAATTAAACATCGTGTGCACGGCAACAATGTCGTCTCGGTTGCGTGGATCATCGTCGATCAAAGACGGTTCCAAAGTAACCTCGTACTCCAAGGAACATCTTCACGACGATCGAGAGGATCTGTCCATGAAATCGTACAAGAACGGGACGAATCGTTATCACTTCGGTATGGTGAGGCAGCAACAGAACGACGAGGTGAGGAGAAATGGTCGCGACAATAGGGAGCATTTTGACGACGACGCAGACGTGTTGTACAAAAAGAGCAGGGATCACTTTGGCGCTTGGGACATGAAGGACATCGTTCAGGACGAGAGACTCGGCTCGAGAAAGCAGCCCGACCGATTCGAGGACTCCCGGTTAACGAATGGACGATCGAAGAATGACGCTGGGAGGCAAGATCGTTACGACGATCATGGGACAGCGTTGTTGTCGCGCGACGATCGGGGGAAGACGGGCTACATCGATCAGGAACAATCGCAAAAATCGAAAAAGAAGGACAGCTGGGACGGGTCCGATACGAAAGTCTCGTCGAAGTTGCATCGATCGCGAAACAACCAGGGTAAAGACGATCCTCCGAAGATCGACGAGAGGGATCTTCTTTTAAGAGAGATCGAAAACCTGGCCGTCGATGGACGATCGCCCGATCGTAGAATCAGAGCGATGATCGAACGGTTCAAGTCGCGGGAGGAGGAAAAATTGAAGTCGAGAAAAGATCGGGAATCTCTCAGTCCGGAGAAAGAAGAGTATAGGTCGAAGAGCGCGAACCGAGGCGATACTCGAATAGATCACGAGAATTCTGTCAACGACAGAGGATCCAGGATTCAAAAGGACGACAGAGAAGACGAGCGGAGGACAGAGAAATCCAAGATTCGAGATCTCGACAGAAACGAACACGAAGAGAACGGCCGGAATCGGTCTGTCGATCGTAGGGACGAAAAATTCAACGACTCGATCTTGGATAAGAACGAGGATTCGAGGCGAAACGACAGTTTCCGACCGAAGAACGACACGTACGGCTCGGATAAAAGTCACAGGCGATCCAGGGAAGTGGAGGATGATCCTCCTCGCAGGAAGGACAGCCCGAAAAGGAAGAGTTACGCTTACGAGGGAAACCCCGAGAATTTCGACGTGCGAATACAGAGGTACGAAAGAACGCTTCTCGAGCCCAGAAGAGATCTGGACTCACCGAAGCGGGTTCCGTTGAAGGACGCGGACGCGGATCTAGGGAGGAAGGAATCCTTTAAAGATCACGATCGTCGGGTGACCAGGAAAAGTTCCTTCAAGTCCGACGACGCGAAGAAGAGCAGGGAATCCAGCCTAAACAGGAAGACGTCTTTCAAGAATCAGGAAAATGATCTCTACAGAAATAATTCGTTCAAGAGTCCAGACACCGAGAAGAAGTACTTCGGAAAGGACACGGAACACGTATCTAGGAAAAGTTCCTTCAAAGAACCAGGATACGAAGCGGGGAAAAAGAACTCCTTCAAAGAGCAGAACTCGGATTACGGGAGAATCTCGTCGAAGAATCGCGACGACGACGAGGAAAGAAAGAATTCGTTTAAAGGACATACCGCCGGGGTCAGTAGAATCACGTTCAAGAAACCGGACGGCGAATCGACCAGGATTCATTCGTACAAGGACCAGGATCCCGAGGTGGGCAGAGTTAATTTCAGGCATCATTCCAACGATGTCGGTCGAAAGAACTCCTTCAAGGAGAAAACCGTCGAGTTCGGTGGAATTTCTTACAAGAATCACGACGACGATGGCGACACGGATCGTAGAACCACTTACAAAAATCAAGACAACGAACCGAGCAAAGGATCCTACCGAAGCCTCGACGACTCAAGGAGAAAACCCTCTCCAAATGGACGATACGTCGAGTTCGGGACAGTCTCCTATCACACTCACGAGGACGAGACTCCAGCAAGTCCCCCGAACGATCACGATCTAGAGAGGAAAAGTTCCTTCAAGGAAACCGATTCATCCGCGAAAAGGCGAGTGTCCCCGAGGAGCAAGAGCCACGATTCCTTCGACAGACGGTCCGACAGACACTCCAGACCGTTGACACCGCCGAAACGTAACGAATCCGAATTGTACAGGGAGGATTCGAAGGACCGCGAGGACTTCGATGCGAAGTGTTGGCACGAGAGCAACCGAGTCTTCGCCGTCAAATACCTCCGTGAAAATAGTAAACACCGTTCGAATCCCGAGGGCCATTCCGAGATCGAGAGAGATCCGTCCCCGGAGACGATGGGACTCGAGTACCGAGAGAAGAATCACTCGAGCGAAGGATTCGGCGAGGAGATTGAGTCCGCGAAGCAACGCAACGAGTACTCGAGCAACGCGAACTCGTACAGCCTTGGGGACACGGAGCAATCTCAGGATCCAGTGGACAGCAGATACTCGTCGACTCGGGAAAGAAACGGCGCAACGATCATCAGGATTCGTACGAACCCAGAAACGCCGATCGAGAGAAGACGTCGACGTCGTCCTGTCCAGGAGCTGCAAGTCGGTAGACGAAGGCGTTACGACGCGGGTGACGAAGAGGACACCGAGGACGAGGACGAGGACGAGGACGAGGACGGTCATCATCATCATCGGCAGAGATCGTCGCGAGCTGACGGCTGTTTCACGTCGCCAAGAGGCGGCGTTCACCCCACACCGTCGAGAAGAGTCTGGAATTATCGCGAAGGGGTATGGCATTTTCATGAGTCAATCGCGTTCGATCAGTCGTTTATGGTTCAGAAACGGGAAGCGATATTTATAAATCGATGGAGAAGATGAGCGAGAGAAAAAGATAGAGAATGAGGAGATCGTGGTGATTCTCGTAACGGTCTAGAGGCCGCCGAGGCAAATCGAAGGGCTACCACGCGCGCTCGTTGTTCTGGTCGAGGGAATTTTGTTTTTCTGATTTTCGCTGCTGCTGCTGCTGCTGCGACCAGTCTGGGTGCCTGCGCTATTGGACGGAACAAGTACGTGCGCGGAGTGTGTTGGTGGTGGTGGTGGATCGTTTCAAGGTGTGAACGTTTTTCTACTGGCGCGTTTCACGCGATTTGCTCGACCGCCGATCGAATCGTTAGGCCGCCCGTCGGTCTCCGTTCTCGTGGCCCGCGTTCTTTTATACGTTATTACATCGCGATTCCGTTTTTCGCGTCGGATAGAAGTATAGACAACGGGATAGGGTATATATATATATACACTAATTTCCGCGGGTTGCGATATACAGGCTTGCAATACGGCGAGCGCGCGCCATACTTGTCTCGAACCGATGAAGAAATTTAACGAACATGTATGAAATAAGTGAAAGTAATCGTGAACCGTAATTACTCCTTTATCTTTATGGAATATTATCGGACACCGATCACGTGTACGAGCGTGTTAAATGTAGAAAGTTCTGATTAAATTTTCATGGTGGACGAGTGAAAATTTTTTCCATTCCAAATACCAACCCCATGCGAGACGACAACTTGTTCTGTGCACGCTGGCCAACCAGCTACGCGCGACTTACATTTAACGGACCGCTACTCCGCCGGGGCCGATTGGTAGCGCACCGAAATGATAATCGAGAGTCAGCTGAAAGCCACCGGCTGCTGATCGATCCGGGGTGAAAGTAAACTATCCGGTAGCCGGGGGACTGTCAACGCTTACTAATCCTTTAATTGAAATGGCCGTTACTTGGACCGACCCAAGTACTTTTATTTCTTTTTATTTTTTTTCCAAACTATACTAGATACTGCGCGAACGTTAACTTTCCCGTGCGACGTTCTCCTGCCGTTACGAGAATACAGAGCAACAGCCACGTTGGCTCTGTCTGCGGGGAATATTCGCTCGAACAGAGAATTATTACACCACCGTCTGTTTTCTTTCCCGAGTCCGATGGAAATTATCCTTCTGGCCCTGGTGTACGAAGGGTTAACAGTCTGTCATCGACGGCGGCGACGGTTCTCGACGCAAGCTTCCAATGTCCTTACGTAATTCCATCATCTATTGGGCAATGCATCATGGAAATGTCAGCGAACCGCCCACAAATGGAATGGTCGCGCCGACGTGTGTGTAGGACACGCACGCAGCGCCCGCGGATCCACATCTTTTCCACCGTCGGTGTTCGCCGGTCCGATATAAAAAAAAAGCCTTTGTCCGTTGTTGTTCCGATGATCGACGATCGTGTCTACATCCATTGGTAGTGGAGAACGTCTTTGTTGTGTCGCGACGCGTTGCAAATCGACTTGGAAACGAAATAATCCCTCGCGGTATTATACACTCGACGAATACATCAACGGTAGCATCGTGGAATGTTATTTTGATAGTTGCCAGCTTTATCATATGTTTTTTTTCTTTCTCTTTCTCTCTTCTCCCGGTCGGGTAATGACGTAATCGTCTGCCTTCGATCGTGAGCGATGCAACCACGTCACGCGTATTCTTGTCCCGCGAACGGGGAAAACAACAAACCGGAGAGCGATTTAAATCGAAATTAAAATGCGCCTGCTCGCCGAAGGAGAGGTCCGGCCGAGGTTTATTTCACGCGAGAAAGACACTCAGCGCGGTGGTTTCCAGGTGATTTCCAGTCGGCCGTGTCGGAGGAAGAAAGACAAGACAGAGTGAGAAAGAGAGAGAGAGAGAAAAAAAAAGAAACGGGGGTACCACCCGGTCCTTTCACTCCGTGAGTCAGGACGAAAAATATGTTAATTAGACAACGGGGGGAGCCTGTTCGCTCCTCGGAGATCATTATTCAAGATTACTATATATAGACAGCTAGAGACACACATACACACGCATATACACAGGGATCGGCTTACATATTTTCCATCGCGTGTGTACCTACCTCGTCTACTCGATATTTGGCGATGCCGCTGCCACCGTGCCGTTCCACGTGGGCGGACCGACCATATATGCCGACCGGAAGGTTCTTGAACGCATCCAACGCGCCTCGAGCTTTCCATCCTCGATGCTGCTGCTTCCTTTTATCTCCCGTTTCGTAAACGTCCTCGACGACGCGTTTACCATCGTCTCGCGAGTCGTCGAAATATAATCACGAATCGATCCCCTGAAAGGCGCGCTGCCGATCGTGAAGGCGGCCGCGGGACGTTACGATTTCTTTCGTTTCGAAAGCGAAGAATCGACGGCGAATAGAACGGCGTGGTCGCCGCGATGCGATCGTCAAACGTCGTGAACGGAGCGCGTTGCCTACGGGGCGAGCAATTAAAAACTTTTCCCAATTATACAAGGCAAGAGACTGAACGTCGTGGTTCGACCTTGTCCCGCTTCGCACGTAATTACGAGCGCGCGAAAGGATGGATTCGCTTTTCCTCGGTATACTATTTTTTTTTTTTTTTCTTTTTTTTCTTTATTCGACTCGAAGGAATAAAGACCGTGCCTTGTTGGGACGGACGAAGATGTTTCGCTCGCGACTGACATTTGTAAAAGGATGATCCAGACCTTTCACCGTTTTGCAATTAACATGACTCGCGATCGCGGCGAGTACGCGATCGTCTTTATCGAAAGTCGTCGCCCCGTCGTGTAAATTCTGGGTTCCTAGGGAAACACGTTACGGGGTTTCGACGATGAGAAATTTAAAACGCGGTTTTTCTTCGTTCGCAGGGTGTCCTGATCACGGACGTCGAGGAGGGCCAACCGTGTTTGCAGTGCGGGGAAACGTGTACAGGATTCTCGCCGCATACGTGGAGGTAAGGCTTTATTATTTCGTATCGGTTCTGAGCTGCGCGCGAATAAGCGAAATAGGAGAAAATAGAGAACACGGAGAATAAAGTTCGATGGCTCCTCTTCGGAGGACGGTTTGCCTACCATTGTAGGTATATAGCTACTGGCGGCGCCAGCGTCCCGGATGCCTCGCTCGGTATCTGCAGAAGAGATCATCGATCTCATCTCGAGCCGGTTGGACGGCTCGGTGATTAAGTTCGTCAAATCAGGATCGTTCGAAGACCGAGAGATTTTTATTAGTTTTTTTTTTTGTTCTCAAACGACGCTGCCAACGAGTTCGTTTCGCGCGCTTCCGTACCGAAGATTACATTGCTCGTTCTTGTGGTGCACTCTCGTGACGATAACGCGTTTTGGCGTCGTTGTCGTCTGCGGTTTCCCACGTTTGTTGACGCTTGTCCACGGATCCACTCGATTGATCGATGAATCCCAGACCCGCTTCTCAATTAGCTGTAGACCGTTTAATGCAGTACATATAGATCGATCGTTGCTGTCTTTCTAATCAAGATATCGGGTTGCTGGTTCTCAGTCATTATCCTTGTCCATTAGCTACGGTGACGGGGAGACGCGTAATTTTCAGGCCTCCGTTTAACAGTCGAGCAAGTCTGACCTGTATAAAAAAGAAAATAGAAAGGAGGCCGTCGGGTAAATACTTGCACAAGAGTTGATAATTTGATTTACTTTTTATCCGGTCACTTTCCATCGGCGCCATAGTTTTCCGTCGTGCAAACTTTATTGAAGTATCAAGATCGCCGAGCGCAGATCCGCTATCGAAGATCGAGGCCGCGAGAGACAAAGAAAGCGAGAGGCCGGGTAAGGAATCGGTGTCTCGATCGGCGAGACCCCGAATCGTTGGATCGTGCTGGAACTGTTAACCGAGAGAGGCCACGGCACGGTATATCCATTATCCGAAGCGTAACTGAGCAGCGGTGAAATTACCGGTTGGTAATTACCCTCCGTGACTTACGGGCCAGCAATGCGGTAATAACGAATTAATTGGCCCCGAGATCTAGCGGGGGAGGGACCAGTCGTTCGCTGCTGTTGCCCGTTCCAGCATCGTCGGAGAGCCTCGAGGAGAAAGGTGGGACGTCGCGTCGCGGCTGCTGCATTTATAGCGTCGGAAGAGATGGATTCACAGTTATGCGAAGCTAAAGCCATTCGAAGCCACCCGAACGCGACTAAAACGACTGGAGGAGCAACCTGGGTTCGCTCGCGCGTAATGTCGCCCGCTGCCACGATCTCTGTGTGCGTCTATATCTGGGCTTTCGAATTCAATTTTATCCGCTCCCGCGTGGGAAGTGCCCCGCGAGCCATTTAAAGACGGCGAAGCTAAATGGGAATTCACGAGAATTCGGTTTCTTATCAATTTTGTCAGAAGCATTTCGTTGGATCTCGCGAAAATTTCTCTGAAATGTATCTCTGAAACGAAACCGTACCGGTTAGACCAGCGAATGTTATTTTTCTCCGTCGACTGTCAGCGTGGGCGTTGTTTTTTTCTTCTATCCCGTGGTGTCACGCATCAGGCTCGTTCGAATTGTAAAAACAGGGCCCAGACTCTGTTACGGGGGCGCTGTTACAATTATTCCGGAGGCGTAGTGGCGGGGGTGGCATAGCTCGCATTCAAAAATAAACCGTTGACATGTGCGAGCGACCGACGGTCGGGTTGTCCGTGGTTCACTCGGTCTGCAGGTAAATTTAAATAATTAATCTCGTAGCCTCTCGATCGCCATTTCTCGCTGAAGCGTCTTTCACCGATCTCCATTCAGTAGGAAAGTGGTTACGAAATAGGTTTGTGTACCGGACGATGCGATGGCGCGATTCCGTTTTCATCCGTGCATATTCGGCCTACATTCCCCTCGATGTATGTATACCTATTCCATTCGAGTCTTCTTCCGCGAGGAGGAGTCGACAAGCACACGGAAATAGGTATCACAGGATTAAAACCGTGCCCCATTGAGATCACGAATATCGGAGGGACAACGTTGCAGGAGGTCGCGAGACCTTCGACCATGGCAGGGACGTAGCTGTGTTCTCGTGTCGTTTGAAATTCATTTCCATCGAAGTTTACGCGCCTCGACCGCGCCTCCGTTTACCGAGGTGCAGCGCCTACGTCCACGGAGGTCGATAATTTACGCAATAAAAGCGGAACGGGGCGCGCTTCGACGAGAGAGAAAGAGAGTCCTGGTGTCGTGACATGTATTTTCGATTGTCGTTCGAACGCGTGAAAACTCGTCCCCTGGTTGCGTTGCCCGCTGTGGCAGGGTCTTTCTAATAAACTTTTATTGATTTACACGCTCGCCGCTCGATGTGAAATGTACGCACGGGCCCGAATGATTTACTGGCGCAGAAGTGCCCCGGGATAATCTAGCGCGGCGGGCAGCTGTTTATCGAAGACAGCCGTCGGTCGGATCCATCTACGCGAACCGAGTTGGTAGCACGTGTCTTGTATTTATAGATTTATCAGTTGCCAAACACCGCCGGAAGTACATACACCGGTAAAGCCCCCCTCGATCTGGAGGAACCTGCGGCTCCGTTCGCAGCGACCTTAATTCGCGGGTGCAATTTAGTGCCGATAAGCCGGCCAGTTTTACCGTTAAATTATGTCGGCTAGAGCAAACTTTACGAGCGTATCGCGTTTTCAACGACCCCACGTGGCTGTACTTGTGGCTTTGTTATTTGCCAAACATCGATGACGTCACCGGTGTAGGAACAGGCCACGGTGTTCTCCGAGCTAGAAGCCAGGCTAGGTCTAGGCTACGCGAGACTAGGCCCGGCTATAGGCCGTGAATACCCTAGATCCAGCACGATCTAGGTTTAAAACGATTCAGGCCTAGCACAATTCAACCTCGACACGGTCTACAGTCGACCGAGCGTGAGCGTAGCCTTCGGTGCGATGGATGGATCGCGTTAATTTGCAATCGCGAATTCGAGACTCTTAACGAAGATCAAGGCTATTCTGTCCAAGTCGAGTCGTCACGGGAATTGAACGATGTCCCTCTCGTCGGTTCGCGTAAAAATCCACGGTCTCCTTATTCGACTCGATACTTCTCTTCCTTTCTCAGCCCATCGAACGTGTAAACGCACTTCAAAGCGCGCTTAAGCACCTTGTATTACGCGAGTTCTCCGTTGCGCCCGGCTTGTCGCGAGATCCGAAGTAAACACAACCAGACACGCACGCACGGGTTCGCTTGTTACCGAAGGCGGTCGCGTGAGACCTCTTAAATGGCCGTCGTCGGAGTGTGCATGCCACGGTCGCAAACGGCTTTCCCAGTTGCGATTGGATTACGCGTGTACCATTAGCCCTGAATCGCGGAGCCCTAATTCGATATACGCCTCGCGGGGAAACGGGGGCCGCCGTTTCCTCGTATTCGTAACCTGAAACCGTACGGTTACGATACATATACCTACATTTTACTTTGTTTCTTTCTTAATTGGAAATAGCTGTTGAAATAAAAGGTTTCTTTGATATATTTCAAAGCTTGTCTTCATTAACACGGCTCGGGAAGAACGTCTTTTCGAAACGAATGACTTCACGGAATTTTTCTGTCCGCGAGGGACTATTTACAGCATTGTCTGAACTATGGAGGGTCTCGACTCTTCAGGCCCGCTATAGACATATCTGGCAATCTTTCTACTATCTTCGTCTAGTAATAATCCAACATTCTCAGCTTTCGAGAAGATGGATCACTCCTAATAGGATCCTCTTGCTTATAGAACGTTTCCTCTCGTAATCCTAGGAAATTGGGTTCATTTTCTAAGAAAAGGGGAAGTAAACCTAGCTCCGATCGAGCCAGCCAGCCAGCGATTGCTCGAAACTCGAGTCACGCAGGGTTCGCGTCGCCGATCGGCGTGTGTACACCGCATCCTCCTCGCGAGCGGCCAGAACATCGTGAGTCATTGCCGAGCGAGCGAGCTAGCTCGGCCGGCTGGCTGGCTTGCATCGCGCGACTCCTCCTCGCGGCTCGGACACGCCGCTTGTGCACGTGCTTCGGGGATATGCGGCCAGTACAGCGCCCGGTGGCGAACAGCATCGGCGCACGAGTTCTCGTTTTTGCCGTTCGATAAATCTCCCCCCTTCCTCTTCACCCTTCAACGTAGTCGTTGTCGTCGCTAGACGCCGCGACTTCGCGGTTACGCAAGCTTTCCGGCCGCGAGTGAGTGCGTGGGACGATCAGAAGCTGCCCGGATCTGGGATCGGTGCGTGTACCTGTTGCGCGGCTCGCTCGAGAAAAGTGTTTTATGGAGAAGTGGTGCGACGATCGTCGTCACAGTGCTGATAATTCCGATAGATCGACCTGTTTGATTCATCGTATGTACATTGTTTTCTTCGTTCGATTTCAGGAAGCAAATCCGCTCGAAGTGGAGAGAAATTTCTTACCTGTCTTCGCGACAGACCCAAGTGTATCGGTAAAATATGATTAACGTGGAAGGAAGGTGCTGTCATTGGGAGCAAGAATTCTGATCGTGGACCAGTTTCGCGGGCCAACCGTTTCGGATCGATTCCGTTCGGACCGAAACGGGCACCTGTTGCTCCGTTTTCTCCGGTTATTCGCGTTCGATTCGTAGTGCGTTCTCAGTGGTGGCGCATAAGGTGAAATTCCCAGTTTACACAAGACGGTTTTGATATTCGCCAGTGCGCTCGTACCATCTCCAGCAAGTCTGTACCCGGCGCGGAGCAATTAACCATATTGGTCACGGAATTACGACACGATACGCGCTCATCAGCATGCGAGTCCCGTAACGGCTCCCTATGTTATCGCGACGATTCTTATGGCAGTTGTAAATAGCGCGGATATACACGCGCGACGCTCGTCAAGTGTCTGTGATTCATAAAGATAGCATCTCTCGGAGCAGGACAGAGCGTATGTACATACATACCGTGGTGGTTGGTTTGTACGAAAAACCAGACGGTATCTCCCTCCGCTTACCATTTCTCTTTATGGTCGTGTATCACAGCACCAAGCGTCCC